GTGCCATTGGCTCTTTTGAGTCTGTTCAAAAGAGTAGACCCACTGCTGGCCCACACTTCAGATTTTGGACTTGTTCACTTCCATAATCATATGAGCCAATTCTATATAAATTTATATTAAATCTCTTTTTATATACACATCAATCGGTTCTGTTTCTCTGGAGAACCCTAACACAAATAAGAACAGGCAATTCACAGAAGAAATACATATGCAGAATAAGCCTATGAAAAAATGCTCAGCTTCCTGAGAGGTGGAGGGAATGCAGATAAAACAGGCGTGGAATATCTTTTGTCATTAGATTGGCAAAACATCTTTTTTGAAATGTTTATTTATTTATTTTGAGAGAGAGATAGAAAGCGAGCAGTGGAGGGGCAGAGAGAAAGGGAGACAGAGAATCCCAAGCAGGCTCTGTCTGCACTGTCAGCACAGAGCCTGATGTTGGGCTCGAACTCACAAACCATGAATGAGATCATGACCTGAGCCAAAATCAAGGATCAAATGCTTAACTGACTGAGCCACCCAGGTGCCCTGGCAAAATGTCTTTTAAACAGGCATAGTCAATGTTGGTGAGTATATGGAAAACACATTTCCCCAAATACTGTGACTGGGAGTGTAAATTGGAAAACATTTAAAGCAATTTGGCAGTAACATTTCAAATGTGCATATCCTTGGGGCATCTGGGTGGCTCAGTAGGTTAAGCGTCCGACTTCGACTCAGGTCATGAACTCGCAGTTTATTTCGAGCCCTGCGTCAGGCTCTATGCTGATAGCTCAGAGCCTGGAGCCTGCTTCAGATTTTGTGTCTCCCTCTTTCTGTTCCTCTCCAACTCCCACTCTGTCTCTCTCAAAAATAAGTAAACATTAAAAATTAAAAAAAAAACACACAAATATGCACATCCTTTACCCAGCAATGTTGCTTTTATCTATAGTGTGGAATAGTTGGCAACTGTCAAAAAGAAACTGAAAAATAAGTGTAAAGACATCCCATGTTCATGGATAGCAAGACTAAATATAATTATGTTGGCAATACACCCCAAATTGACCTACAGATTCAGTGCATTGCCTATCAAAATCTCAGCTGTCACCTTTGTGGAAACAGACTAAAATTCACATAGAGGGGCGCCTGGGTGGCTCAGTCAGTTAAGTGTCCGACTTCGGCTCAGGTCATGATCTCATGGTACGTGGTTTCGAGTCCCCTGTCGGGCTCTGTGCTGACAGCTAGCTCAGAGTCTGGAGCCTGTTTTGGATTCTGTGTCTCCCTCTCTCTCTGCCCCTCCCCTGTTCATGCTGTCTCTCTCTCAGAAATAAATAAAAACATTAAAAAATTTTTTAATAAAATAAAATAAAATTCACATAGAAATTGGAAGGACCCAGAATAGCCAAAACAATTTTGAAAAAGAAGTTGGAGGACCCCCTCTTCTCCCAATTTCAAAACAATGTAGTATTGGCATGAGGACAGATGTATAGATCGATGGAATAGAACTGAGAGTCCAGAAATAAAGTCTTACATTTAGTCAATTGGTTTTATCAAAATTAAAAATCACAACCAAAGGGGGCTGGGAGGGCTCAGAGTGGATGCAAGTCACTGCAGGGCAAACAAAGAGCTTGAGCTGAGTGTGAGGCAGGGAGAGGGGACAAAGAGCCCAACTCAGGGGTGGTGGCAGTGCAGTGGGGAGTGCCGGGGTGGAGGAAGTGTGTAGCAGGTGCTCAGCCTGGGGCTAGAGAGGGTCTGGGGAGTAAGAGAGGCTCCTACTGAGAATGGGGCAAATGGGGATGGACCCTTTGATGTCATATCTCTTTGTAACTCTGGAAGTTTCTTTTCAGTTGCTTCCTTTCAGTCCTCCCTGTTCAAAAAACGATGCACCCTCCTTAAAAGCAAAAAGCAGAGGGAGAGAGATTCCTAAATTGGAGAGTTTAAAGACATTAGGGTATTTCTTGAGGAATGTGAAAGATGTTCTGCAGTTTCGGGGGGAACTATACCCTATCCACTGAAGTGGAGTTTCACTGCATCCATTTTAACAAGTAAATGCATTTTGTTTACAGTAAATATATTTCACATTTCTTTGCCATAGTAATCAGAATAACTGCATAAGATTCAGATTTTTCTTTTCTTTTCTTTTTTTTAAATGTTTTATTTATTTCTAGGAGAGAGAGAGAGACAGTGTGAGCAGGGGAGGGTCAGAGAGAGAGGGAGTCACAGACCAAAACAGGCTCCAGGCTCTGAGCTGGCAGTCAGCACAGAGCCCGACGCGGGGCTCGAACCCACGAACCGCGAGATCATGACCTAAGTGAAAGTCGGATGCTTAACTGACTAAGCCACCCAGGCGCCCCAGATTCAGATTTTTCTAAAGCTTGGACTCATCTGTTGATTATGAATTACCTTGTCCTTTGAGAGTGATACCCACAGGGCCCATCGACTTACCCAGGACCGATTGCCCCTACATCCAATGTGTCTCGATGTTGAGTTTCTAAGTCCTTCCGTCTGTCTTTCGCATTTTTTTCCGTTGAATGCTTTTGATCCATGCTAAACCCAAAGGGACTGCTTCCAGAAACTTCAGTGCACACATCTCCTGGTACTTCTGTAATCTACTGTTGCTGGGAAGTCAGAAAACATTTATTAAAAATATATGAAGTGGGGTGCTTGGCTGGCTTAGTTGCTAGAGCATGCAACTCTTGACCTCAGGGTGCTGTAGAGCCCCACGTATGTGTGTATGTGTATATATGTATATGTGTGTATATGTATATGTGTATATATGTATATGCGTATGTATATGTATATATGTGTATACACACATATGTAATATGTGTGTGTGTATATATATAGATATGTATAAAATAGGAGAAAAGAAGCTGTGTGTAGGAAATTTCGAGCTCTTTCTGGGAGACAGTTTATGGTCATTTGTAGAGGATTTTGCAACCTCAGCACTACTGATACTTCAGGCAGGATGATTTTTGTTGTGGGGGCTGTCCTTTGCATTATAGGATGTTTAGCAGCATCCCTGGCCTCTGCCTACTAGATGCCAGTAGCACCTCCCCTTTGTTGTGACAACCCAGAATATCTCCGCACACGGTGCAAATTGCTCCTTTAAGGATGCTTTTCATGATACTTGTTTCAATCACTCTAGGTTTTTTCCCCATTTATTTTTTAAATTATTTTTATTTTTATTTTTTATTTTTTTAATATTTTTATTTATTTCTAGGAGAGAGAGAGAGACAGCATGAGCAGGGGAGGGTCAGAGAGAGAGGGAGACACAGACTCCGAAACAGGCTCCAGGCTCTGAGCTGGCAGTCAGCACAGAGCCCGACGCGGGGCTCGAACCCACGAACCGCGAGATCATGACCTAAGCGAAAGTCGGACGCTTAACCGACTAAGCCATCCAGGCGCCCCTTAAATTATTTTTAATGTTTATTTATTTTTGAGAGAGAGAGAGAGTGGGGGGGAGGGGCGGGGGAGGGGAGACAGAATCTAAAGCAGGCTCCAGGCTCTGAGCTCACAGCACAGGACTCGATGTGGGGCTCAAACCCACAAACTGTGAGATCATGATCTGAGCTGAAGTCCAAGTCAGACACTTAACCAACTGAGCCACCAGGCGCTCCACACTGTGTTTAGTTTTTAAATGGTTCTGTGTAGTTGTGATTAATAGGTTCATTTATTGAGTAGCCTAACATTTCATGAAAAGTGTGTGCACGCACTTTTTTAATGGAAGCAAGAGCTATACCCCCTTTCCTCAGGATACACAGGGAGGGAACGTGCACAAAGGTCACCAGCGGGCTGGATTCTGACCCTCTCTAGCCCCAGGCTGAGCACCGCTGCTACACAATTCTTCCACCCTGGCACTCCCCCACTGCAGGCTGCCACCTCCCCTGAGTTGGGCTCTTTGTCTCCTCTCTCTCTGCCGCACACTCAGCTCAAGCTCTTTGCCCTGCAGTGCTCCACTCTGTAGAACCAAACGTGGCTCTTCCTCCCAGGGCTGGCACGAGGCTTTCTCTGGGCATCTTCTCTCCCCTGGTGCATCTATCAACCATCTCGGCCTGAGCCAGGACCTTTGGCACTGGGCGCCTGGCCCTTTTTGCTGGTTCATCTGTTCCGTGTGGTACACTTCTCTCCAAACGGGCCATGTCAGTTCCTGGAAGGCAGGGATGACTCAGACGAGGAATCCACTTCTACTGTGCACCCACCCCCAATCCAGCCTTGCGCCAGGCACCCAACAGCTCCTCAAGCCCACTGCATTGAACTCGGCATTTAATCCCTGTCCAAGGCTGCTCTTCCCATCTGGTTTCCGAAAGCTCTACCCACCCCCCAACCCCGTCTAGGCAGTTCTCCAATCCCTCCCCACCTGCCAGTTACAATCCTCCCAGATTCAGCGTAAAAAGGTGCCCTTAAGTTAGAATTAAATCTTTTCCTCCCGACCGAGAGAGAGCCAGCCTACCACCTCTCCCCTACACATATCTGTAACACCTGGCACTTGACCTTGTATCTTCTGTTAGATCTAACGTGAGCCTGTCTCACCTTCTCCACCCACTCATACCCCGCTGCGAGCACCCTAAGAAGGGGGACTGAGAACTGTTTCTCCTTGCCCTCCCAATTCTCCTTCAACTCCTTTGGGGGCCTGGCTGCCCAGCATTTAATGAATTTGTTGAACAGAATAGAAACAGGTGCACAAATGTTCCTAATCCAGAAGCTGACATCCCGTAAAGGTCTTTGAACGCACTCTGTAAGGGGTGGCTCCCCTGTTGGTCAAGGTCCTCAGACATGCGCTGCCCCACCTCGGGGTAAACTCTACCCGGCGCCGCGACTCGGCGGAGCTGGGCCCCGACGTCACATGATTCTCCAATCACATGATACCGCAAAAAGTGGGGGAGGGTGGGAAGAGACGTAGGGAGGGAGGAAAGAGAATTGAGTAAGAAAGCAGCAGAGCTTCCAGGCTGGCCCCGCCTCTACATATACAAGTAGCCAGTAGAAGCGCGATGTTCCAGACACCTGGCCAATGGAAATTGAGGTGGGCGGGCCATCGCGCTGCCAGGCCCTAGTCCGGGAGCTTCCCGGCCGCCGCTAACCAGCGAGCGCGGAGCCGGTCGCAGGTAAGGAGGGCGGCCGCGCAGATCTCTCGCTTGCTCCTTCACAGGGCTCTGGCCAAGCGGACATGAGGGCTTGAGATTCCTCCGGAGTTTCCGGCGGAAGGCAAGAGAAGACTGGCTTAGAGAAACTCCTTTCGTGGTTTCCGATCCACTGGAGGCAGTTTTAGGGGGTGGGAGTAAGCGGTGACTGCAGTGACCCCCGTGAGAGAGGGGCCCGCTCCCTCTCCAGCATCCCCGGAAGCTGCAGCCCTTTCCCCCAAAGCTGGAGCCACTCTATTCTTGAGCCGGTTCCGGCCGCGTCCCGGTGCTGGTGGTGGTTTGGGCGGGTGGCCCCCGGGCCCCTAGTCCCGGAGTTCAGAGGGCTGAGAGTGCGCTGGAGAGCCTGGCTCGTTCAAAGGGAGCAGCGACTTGGGAGTGGTGACTGAACCCCCAGTTTGAGCCTGACTCTCTCGTACTTCCTCTGGAGCCGGGTGGGACCAGCTAACTTCCGCCTCTCCCAGCCACTTTTCCTGCTCGCTCGCAGTTGGGTTCCCTCACCTTTTGGGACTCTCTCTCCTGACGTTCGGAGTTGGGGGCTGCCACCTAGTGGAGGATGGCAGAGCTGGGGGCTTGCAGAGGCAGGCTCCTGTCCTTCCTCTCTGCTGTGGGCTGTGGGTGACAGAGGCTGCCATTCAGGACCCGACTGAGAGGAGTTAGGCTCCTTCTTCCCCCATCCCTGATCCCGAGTGTGCGCCCGCGTCTGTACATTTGTATTCACTGGAAGTATTCGCTGTATTCCCTAACCTTAGGATACCAAGGACGGAAAGTATGCATAAATAAATCACTAGGGTGTTCAGTGGTCTGAGGTCTGTGCAGACAGGCACCCCTTCTGGCTTAAGCCAGGGTAGCAGGACGGCCTATGAAGGGTTGAGGTTGGGCTCCCAAGAAGCAGGTGGGACCTAGATGCCTTGCCTGGGAGCTGTGGGTGTGCGTGAGAGAGTGAAAGGGGCCAAGGCCCAGGATCAGCCCGGCAATGGCCTCCTAGAAATGATCTTTGAGCTCGGAACGGGGCACTGAGGAAAGCCAGGTGAGGGAGAGAGGGTGCCCGTGTCTGGGCGAGTGTAAGTCCTCGCCACACATAGTGTGCATGTCCACCCACGGACTCATGGGGAAACTGAGGCCCAGAGGCAGGAAGCTACTTTTGAGGCTCTCACGACCCGCGTGGCAGTTCTAGGACTAGCACTCAAGTGCGGTATCCAGGCAGCCCCTGCACTTCTCGTTTCTGTTCTGCCTTGTCCACCTGCTCGGAAAATGCTTGTCTCCCTCCTCTACTTGGACCCCAGGCCTCTAGTCTCCTGGGGTTTGGCGTCCATTTCTGGGCACTGTCCATGGTGCCACTTTGTGAAACAAGCGCAGGTCCAGTATGCTTTGGAGCCAGCAAAGCCTGTTGTCTCCATGACTTGATACAGGACAGAGGCCTGTTACGGACCATCTCTGAGCTTCGGTTTCCTCCTTTGAAAAGCAAAGGAAATACTTACTACTTAGGATGGTTGTTGCAAAGAACAAAAAGAAAATAATAGTGTTGTAACTGGCCCACCAGACAGTCAGCAAACATTACCGTTTTTGCCCGTCTAGGCAGGGTAACATCTCCTGGGCCCATCCCATTGAACTAGTGGGGCTGGCTGAGCTTGGGGACGAGTCATTTAGGAAGTGAGAGGCCCCACAGAGATTGATGATCGGTTTCTTCAGCTGTCGCAGCTGGGTGGGCCAATGTGGTCCTCTCCACAAACTGCTGAGTTTCAGCTTTGGGGTAGGGGGAGAGGCAGGGGTTGGAAGTGGTATGTTTGAGGACCCTGAAAGTTCCGGTGGTGTTGAGGGGGGTCCCTTAGAACACAGGTAGCTCAAAGGCTGGCCCAGCCTACGCATCCCCTTCCCTGGGTGCGGGGGGACAGTCAGTGGGCAGGTGTGGCTGGCCTCTGGGGAAGGCAGTTCACATTACACTGGCTACCACACTTCCCGTTTCACTACTTTCTCAACTGAATGGTTTCCCATGTCATCATGTGACACCCCCAGCTCGCCCCCACCAGGCCTTAGCAGGTGTGACCATGGCATCAGACAAGGAGGCATCTGGAGGGTCTGGCTGGGGAAGTGGAACCCTGGCCTTTCTTCAAGAGGACTCCCTCTTTGCTCCTCAGACCAGTCTTCCCATGACTGCTGATGCCTCCTCACCACCTCCTCCAGAGGTGACCCATGTCCCTACAGATCAGACCCCCAAGTTTTCCTTTCATATGCCCACATCTTTTTTTTTTAAGATTTAATTTAAAACTTTTATTTATTTATTTATTTTTAAATTTCTAGAGAGACAGCATGAGCAGGGGAGGGGCAGAGAGAGAGGGAGACACAGAATCTGAAGCAAGCACCAGGCTCTGAGCTAGCTGTCAGCACAGAGCCTGACGCGGGGCTTGAACCCACGAACCGTGAGATCATGACCAGAGCCGAAGTCAGACGCTTAACCGACTGAGCCACCCAGGCACCCCTTTATTTATTTTTTTAATGTAATCTCTACACCCAACATGGGGCTCAAACCTGCAACCCTGAGATCAAGAGTCGTATGCCCTACTGACAGAGCTCTCACACGCCTACATCTTTACACGCTTACCCACAGAGATTGAGGCATTTAGTCACATTTTGGGGACACAGATTTTTTTTTTAATGTTTTTATTTATTGAGAGAGAGAGAGAGAGAGAGAGTGTGAGTGGGGGAGGGGGAGGAAGAGGGGGAGACACAGAATCCGAAGTTGGCATCAGGTTCAGTGCTGTCAGCACAGAGCCTGATGCAGGGCTTGAACTCACAAATCGCAATATCATGACCTGAGCCAAAGACGGACACTCAACTGACTGAGCCACCCAGGCGACCCTGGGGACACAGACTGACACATGTACTTGCATCAGTATTCATGCTCATCACTGTACACATGCTGGTGCACGTGCGACACACATGGAGAACACACACAGGAAGCTGAATCTTGGGGCCCTCATCTTTTTTCCTGCGGGGACAAGGAGTTGTTGGAGAGGCTCAGGTGGCATCTGGCCTTGGCCTGGGCTGGACTGGCCCCAGAATCCAGAGTCACATGGGCTTACACTAGTCGCCAAAGGCCTTGTGGTATTTTGCAGGCAGACCATGTGGACTCTGGTGAGCTGGGTGGCCTTAGTGGCGGGGCTGGTGGCTGGAACACAGTGCCCAGATGGTCAGTTCTGCCCTGTGGCCTGCTGCCTGGGCCCGGGAGGAGTCGGCTATAGCTGCTGCAGGCCTGTTCTGGTGAGTGCCCTTCAACCCAGGCGAGGGCTGGCACCCAGGGGCTCCCGAAGGGTCACCTTAGTTTGGCCAGAGGAAGGGGCCGAGCTTGGGTCCTTCAGCTTATTGTCTCCTCTCACTTTCCAGGGCAAGGGGACCACAGTGCTGAGCAGGCACCTGGGCAGACCCTGCAGAATAGATGCCCATTGCTCTCCTGGCTACTCCTGCCTCCTCACCGTCTCAGGGACCTCCAGCTGCTGCCCGTTCCCAGAGGTGAGGGCGCCATTAGCTCAAAAGAGGGGCTCAAGTCTTCATTTAGACGTTTCCTCCACTCACCCCAGGTATAAAGGCCTCGTCAATGCAGGTGTCTCTGTGTCCCCCAGGCCGTGTCGTGTGGTGATGGCCGCCACTGCTGCCCACGGGGCTACCACTGCAGCGCTGACGGGCAGTCCTGCTTCCAAAGAGCAGGTGCGGCAGGGGTGGAGATGGAGGGCAGGCAGATGGGTGGCATGTGGAGGCTGGACTGCCCAGGAACCCAGCCATCTGGGTGACCTGATTCCTGACCTTGTGTCCTCATTCCTGTGGCATCTGTACGAAGCCACGCCTTTGCTCTGGACAGAGGGGCACACTAGGCTGGGGAGGGGCAGGGGAGAATGCCAGCCTCCAGGCCTGGGGCCAGGCACCCGGAGGGTAGAGAGAGGCCAAGCTGGGCTGGTTGAAGGCCAACCCAGGCAGTGGATGCCCCTGCCCGGTGCCATGTTGCTGAGGTGATGACTGGCTTGTGGGAAGAGGGGGTTAGGAGTGCCTCACCCAGCCCCGGTGCCGGCCCCCTAGCCCCCCTGTAGCCGGGCCTGCAGGCCCTGGTGCCAGCCGCCCCTCGATTTACGGGTGTAATGGCTTTCACGGACCGGGTTGGCGAATCCTGAGTCATCCTGTTCACAGATACCAACCCCTTGGGTGCCGTCCAGTGCCCCGATGGCCGGTTCGAATGCCCCAACTCCTCCACGTGCTGCTCGATGCTAGATGGGTCCTGGGGATGCTGCCCCATGCCCCAGGTAACAGCTTCAGGAAGATGGGGGGTGAGGGGGGAGCAGTAGGGGCAGAGCAAGGGGCTGGAGGGAACAAAGACAGAATCGGAAGCATCTCTCATCAGGCATCTTGCTGTGAAGACAAGGTGCACTGCTGCCCCCACGGCACCTCCTGTGACCTGGCTCACGCCCGCTGCCTCACAGCCACGGGCACCCACCCCCTGGCAAAGAAGATCCCTGCACAGAGGAGTAACCGGGCAGGTTAGGAGGTGGGAGAGTGTGGGCTTGGGGGTTGGAAGTGGGGCGAGGCCTCGTCTGGCTCCCAGCTGGGGAAAGGTCCCCCCCACCATCTTGGCTGCCTGGCACGTCTCTGTCCCCTTCTAGTGGTCCTGTGCCCCGACGCACAGTCCCAGTGCCCTGATGGCTCTACCTGCTGTGAGCTGCCTAGTGGGAAGTATGGCTGCTGCCCGATACCTGATGTGAGTGAGGGGCTGTGTGCCCCACAGCCACCCGGCTGGACACCTGAGGACTCCAGGGGGTGGGGCGGGCTGGCAGGCTGTTGGGAGCCTGGCTGCTCAGGACGCGGGCCGCCCCCTAGCGGGGGATCGAGGCAGTGTCCGCTGTCTCCTGGCTCCTCCCTGAGAGCTGACGGAGGGGAAGTCACAAAGCCCTTCCCCCACCCCCACCCAGGCCGTCTGCTGCTTGGACCACCTGCACTGTTGTCCCAAGGACACCGTGTGTGACTTGGTCCAGAGCAAGTGCCTCTCCAAGGAGAACGCTACGGACCTCCTCACTAAGCTGCCAGCTCACGCAGGTACCAGACTCCGGCCACAGACCCCGTTCCACCTGCACCGTGAGCAGCAGCTCTCCGCCACATTGTTCCAGGAACAGATACGGGGGTGGGGGACTGATGGCCACGTGGGTTCCACAGGGCAGGCACAGCCCCTTTCCTCCATGCTGATCATTGCCTTCGGATCACCGCGGGGGCAGCCTTAATGCCCTCTCCATCCTCAACATCTGGCTCGAGGGTTAGGTACCCCAAGGGTTCCCGGTGCCACTGCTGACCTGTCGTCCTTGCATTCCTCACAGTGCAGGAGGTGAAGTGTGACAAGGAGGTGAGCTGCCCAGACGGCTACACCTGCTGCCGCCTACAGTCAGGGGCCTGGGGCTGCTGCCCTTTCACCCAGGTACCCAGGAGCAGTGGGTGGGCTGGACTGAGCAGAAGGCGGCAGCCAGCTGGGCCCCTGTGCCCACTGTCCCCTGTCCATCTACCCTAGGCTGTGTGCTGTGAGGACCATGTACACTGTTGCCCGGCTGGGTTCAAATGTGACACGGCGAAGGGTACCTGTGAGCAGCAGGCCCAGCAGGCGCCCTGGGTGGTGCAGGCCCTAGCCCGCCTCCGCCTGCCAAAACCCCAGGCCGTGGGGGACGATGTCCCTTGTGATAACGTCACGAGCTGTCCCTCCTCCAATACCTGCTGTCAACTCTCGTCTGGGGAGTGGGGCTGCTGTCCTGCCCCGGAGGTGTGTGGGGAGGGGGACAGCTTGTGGGGGGAGGGACAGTGGCTTGGCCTGGGCGGGTGGTCAGACTCCTGTTGCTTTGCTCCTGTGTCCTCTGCCTGGCCCGCGGGTGGCACGCCAGCTCTGTCAGATTCCATCCCAGCAGAGGAGTTGGGAGCATGGGAGGGGGTCAGGGTAGGCAGGAGCCTTCTGTCCCACATAGTAGCTTCTGAAACCATTCTTATCTGCCACTCCCCACCCCCCCCAGGCTGTCTGCTGCTCAGACCACGAGCATTGCTGCCCCCATGGCTACACGTGCTTGGCTGAGGGGCAGTGTCAGAAGGGGGACAAGGTGGTGACTGGATTAGAGAAGATGCCCGCCCGCCGGGGTTCCCTGTCTCACCGCAGAGACATGGGCTGTGACCAGCACACCAGCTGCCCCGTGGGGCAGACCTGCTGCCCAAGCCTGAGTGGGGGCTGGGCCTGCTGCCAGTTGCCTCACGTGAGTACCCACCCACCTGTCTCAGACTGGGGGAGCGGAGGCCCCCTGGGGAGAGGGGAAGGGCCTTTACTGCCACTCTGTCCCTCCCAGGCCGTGTGCTGCGAGGACCGCCAGCACTGCTGCCCGGCTGGGTACACCTGCAACGTGAAGGCCCGATCCTGTGAAAAGGAGGCTGACTCTGCGCACCTTGCCGCCCGCCTGGTCCATGGCCCTCGCGTGGGTGCGGGGAACGTGGAATGTGGGGGCCGTCACTTTTGCCACAATAACCAGACCTGCTGCCAAGTTAGCGGAGGGGGCTGGGCCTGCTGTCCCTATCGCCAGGTCAGTGCCACCTTCCCCCCTCCCCGCCCCCTGCCCCTCACTGGGCTGGGTATCTGTGGGAGCTGGGGCCTGCTGTGACCAGGTCTGACTCCCCTCTCCGGCCATCCAGGGAATCTGCTGTGCGGATCAGCGTCACTGCTGCCCTGCTGGCTTCCGATGTGGGGGCAAGGGCAGCAAGTGTCTACGCAGGAAGAGCCTGAGCTGGGACATGTCCTTGAAGGAGCCAGCCCTGAGACAGCTGCTGTGAGACTGAGAACTGAAGACACCTTGCAGCCCTCGGGCCCCTGCTCGGAGGGCGCCCACTGCTCAGGCCTCCCCAGCACCTCTACCCCCACCGAATTCTTCTGGATTCCCCCATTCTGAGTCCCTCCCCCCTTCATGGGAGGTGGGGCCTCAATCTAAGGCCTTCTCTGTCTCCAGGAGGGCTGTGGCGAAAGCCATGTTACAAGCTGCCATCCCCTCCCCCAGTTTCCGTGGACCCTGTGGCCAGGTGCTCTTCCCTATCCACAGGGGTGTGTGTGTGTGTGTGTGTGTGTGTGTGTACGCGTGCGTGTGCTGCAGTAAAGTTTGTACACTTTCTTAATAGTGTCTGATTTGGCCACCCTGCCTGCCCTGCGCAAGGACCCCCATCCCGTGTCCACATTCCCCCAGCCCCACAGAAAGACCCACACGGAGTTAATCTCACCAGTTTTATATTTGCTGTTACCCACAGCAATCCCATCACATTACCCCCTAGTCCCCAGAGCTGCCCCAGCCACCAGCCCTGTGACTTCGTAGCCCAGAGGTGGGCTAGTCAGCAAGCAGCATCCCCTCCCCTCCCGGGGGGTCCACAGAGAAGGCCCCCTCCCTTCCCAGCCCTCACACTAGCTGCTGAGGCCGGTTGCCCCTCCTGCTTTCCCACGATAGATCTTTCTATGTACAGCCACGTTTATACAGGCACTGCTTCCCCCCCACCCAGCCCTCCTTCCCCAGCACCTCACAATGGGAGTCTGGACCCCTCCCACCTCCCTCTAGGAGGCCGACACGGGTCCCTCCCGAGACATTACCCAGCACATACCACTGGACAGCTCCGCAGGCCCCTGGGCGCCACTCCAGGTGGGGGACTGGAGGCTAAGAGCGAGGGCCCCCGCGGGCCCCTGGGGCACGCACCCTGGGGGCGGGCCCGGGTGGAAGGGGCGGGGCCGGGGGCCGGCCCTGAGGCGGGGCCGGGCCAGGCGGGGACGCTACTTGACGTTGAACACCATAAGCGGCCGCTCCTCCCGCCGCTGCCACGGGCTCTTCTTGTCGCCCGCCTCGTCGCCCACCTCCGCCCCCAGCTCGTCCTCCGGGCTGGTGAGCGAGTCGCGCCGCAGCTCGCTGGCGCTGCTGCGGGAACTGTCCCCGCGGCTGCGGCCCCGACCCCGGGGTACCGTGGCCGCTCGGCCCTCGGGCGCCGCCACTTCGTCCAGCAGCGGCGTCAGCGAGTTGTCCTCGGGGGAGCAGAGGCCCGTGCGGCTCTCGCTGCTGCTCGGCTCCGTGTCCTCGCTGAGCGCCAGGCGCGGGGGCGCTGGCGGCGGCGGGGGCGGCGGGGGCGGCGGAGCGGCGGACGGGGCGCGCTCCCGCTCCCGCTCCTCGCGCAGGGGCCGGCGGCGCGCAGGCCGCGCCTCGTGCACGTCGACGCCCGAGTCCAGGCTGGCGTCGGTGCTGCGGCCGCCACCGCCCGCCTGCAGGTCGATGTAGGAGTGGCGCACCTGCGAGTTGGAGCGCCCGTCCAGGGACACAAACCAGGCGCGCGGGTGAGGTTTCACGCCCAGTTCCAGCAGCTTCTTCTCGGTCAGCGCCTGCAGCTCTCCGTTGAGCTGCGCCATGGTGGACTCGTTGAACAGCACCGGGATGGTGACCGAGCCGCTGACCGGCGCCGAACGCCCGCCCCCCCAGCCCTCGCCGCCGCCGCCGCCCCCGCCGCCCTCGCCGCCCGCGCTCGAGTGGCCCTGCATCAGCGGGCGCTGGGGGTCGGGCGGGGGGAAAGGACGCGCGGGTCCGGGGCCCGTGCCCTCGGGTGGCGCTGGCTCGTCGCCAGCCCCCGCTGCACCCGCCTCGCCGCCGAGGCGCACGTAGTGCGCTGGAATCACCAGGGTGGGCATGACATTGCGGTAGACGCTGTCCTTGAGGTGGTCGATGGAGCCGCAGAAGATGAGCTGCCCGGCCTGGCTGAGCGACGGCGGCCGCGCCAACTGGTCCACCGACTGGGACAGGAGGAAGTCGGGGGGCTTGCTCTCGGCCGCTCCCTTGTGGCCCAGGTAGTGCTCGAAGGGCGGCGGCGGCGAGGGCGGCTCCTGCAGGAAGGCGGGGGTCGCCGAGGCGCCCCGCCGGTACTCCTCTAGGCCTGGCTCCAGCCCGCCGGGACCCTCGACGGAGCGGGCGCCTTTGAGCCCCGCGCCCTCGCCACCGCGGGCTCCCCCAGGCTCGGCGGCCGGGCGGATGGCAGAGCGCGGCTTGGCGCGGAAGAAGTCGTCCCGGGAGGCGGCCAAGTCCCGAGAGCTGGAGAAGGCCGAGTGCAGGGGGCCCGGGGGCGGAGCCTCAGGGTCCCCCGACGGGGCAGGCTCCAAGGGTCCCCCACAAATGAGGTGGAGCTGGGACATCGAGGTGGCCTGGTCTCGTTTGTTACCGTCAGAGGGCCCGGACAGCTGCAGCTTGCGGTGCTGTTGCCTCGGCTTCAGGCAGCGCCTCCTGGAGGGTGTTGGAGGGAGGGTCGACGGGGACCTCAGGAAAGGGTGGGGGGCCTGAGCTGCTCCCTAACCCCGCAGTTGCAAGGTGGGGAATGAATATAGTTGGCGGGGTGGGGAGAATGCCTGAGACCCCGGAGAAATGTTGCGGAACCCAGTAGGGCCTTGGGAGAGGTCTGTGGAAAGAGCTTGAGTGTCTGTGGGAGTCCCCCCCCAGCAGCTGTGGCCATGGGGTTCCCCTGAGGATAAACTGCAATCCTTCACTCCTAGGAGGCGCTGTGGGAACCTGGGGGGAGCCCGTAAGCCAACCACGGGCAAGTCTAGCCTGAGGTGGGAGGGGCTGCCGATTGTCCCCTTGGAGGGGCGTAGCCTGTAGGTCCGGCCTCCTCTCCCCCAACTTCTCTTCGGCCACCAGTCTCTCAGGTCTGTGCCTGTGCATTGGCTGCCCTTTCCTGTCAGTGCCTTGAAGACTGGAATTATATTTTATGCATCTTTGGGGCCCACGCGTCCAGCCCTACACCAGGCGCAGAGCAGGCATCTGTCTGCATGGGGCGAGGGGGAGCTGGGGGATCAGGAGTCACTCACCGGCAGTAGTAGATGAGCAGACACAGCAGAATGAGCACCAGCAGGGCCAAGGCCGCCAGGATGGTGAGCAGGAAGATGGTGTGGTAGGTGCCAATGTCCTGGATGCCTGATGTGATGGTGACCAGTCCTGTGCCAGGCAAGGGCTTAGCTTTCCGGGCATGGATGCCCTTCCTGCCTTTGCAGGAGTCCCCCGCTTCCAGCCTCTCCTTCCCCCACTGCCCCCTGTCCCGGCTGTCCCCCCCCCCCACCTCTCACCAGTGGTGGGGGAAGCCATGGCAGCTGCCCAGTACCCCAGCTGGGGGGAGATGAAGGTCCAGTAGAGCTGCCGGCCTTCCTTCCGGATCACACCAGTGCCGTTGCGTACCCACAGCCCTGGGGAAGCGGGAGTTTCATGCAGCTCAGTGCCCCCCCCCCCGCCCCCGCCCCAGCGAAGTCCCACTTTCTTTCCCCAAACTCCAGCAGCTCAACCCCTTAAAGCACTCACCACTCTTGGGGTCAAACCTCCAGGCTGGAATGCTGGTGCCCGCAGTAAGGGCACGAGGCTCTGAGGGCACGGGCAGGGACAGGTGAATGGGGCCCGAGAGTGGCACTTCCGTTCCATTGCCTGTTAGCAGGTGCACGCTCACAGCAGCCAGGGGCATCAGCTCTAGCCAGGAGCCATTGCCTGGGGTGGGGGGGGGAGAGGAAGGAAACACAAGGGCTGAGGGTTAAGTCCTGGTGGGAGGAGGACGTCCCTTCCATGCTTGACACTCCGCATACCTGAGCTGGAGGCGTCGGTGCCCAGGAAGGCAGGGAAAGCACGCATTTCCTGCTGGGTGCTGGCGGGTGTGAGCGAGGCCCAGAGCTGGCTGTAGGTGGAGCTGACTGGCAGGCGGGCAGCCCGGCGCTGAAACTGCACCCAGGGCTGGGAGCGGGCACCTGGATGGAGAGGGAGGCTGCTGTGGATTGGCCAGGGACAAGTTTCCCCAGGGACCAGAGCTCAGAAAGCAAGTATCTGAGGAGAAGGGAGCTTTTGGGTGAGGCCACTTGGGAAGGTCAGGGAGGGTGGTGAGCTGGGGAGAGAACTGGGCATTAATAGAATATTAACCTGGAAAGGACATGGATCTGACATCTAGTCCTGGCTGTGTGACCCTGAGCAAGTTACTTGCCCTCTCTGACATGTGTGGCTACTGGGCCCTTGAAAGGTGGCTAGTGGGACTGAAAAACTGGATTCATTTTTAATTTTTAAAAATTTGATGAATTTTTAATGTATTTAAATAGCCCCATGTGGCTAGTGACTACTGCATTACACAGCTTAGGTCGTATTTGTGTGTGTGTGTGTGTGTGTGTGTGTGTCTTGGGGTGGAGGGGGCGTATAAAGAGAATTCCAGTACAATATGGCTGTAGCTAACATGTATTAAGTTTGAAGATATACCGGACACTGTGCTAACCAGGCTTCCCATGTTAACTCCTGTAATTAGTACAACAGCCTCTCAAGTAGGTGCTTTCATTATCCACCCCCTTGTATTCATGCAGAAATGGAGGCAGGAGCAGTTTTGTGACTTGCCCAAGGTCACAATCCTAGAGCCCAACTGAAGCCCAGGAAGTGTGGTGCCAGTCCAACCTCTCAGCCCCTTAACCTCCTCCCTTGCTATTAAAATAGGGTGCAAAGGGTGCTCAGCTCACCCAGCCGGGGAAGGTCCTGTGGAGTCTTGCAGGATGAGTAAGACTCCTCCAGGGAATAAGATATAAAGGGACCTCCAGGCAAACGGACACAAGCAAGGCCCAGAGGCATGGGGCAGTGTGCTGCCTGGAGGACCCCAGGAGACTGAGTGGCATGTAGGCCCCACAGGGCACAGTCAGTTTTGTGAAGGATTTGAGGCTTCACTTTGAAAGCAGTGGGAGCCATGAGAGGGCTGTAAGCAAGGGGGCAACAAAGCGATAATTTGGCATTTTATTATTTAAAAAAAAAATTTTTTAAAGTAGGCTTCACACCCAACATGGGGCTTGAACTCACAACCTTGAGATCAAGAGGTGCATGCTCTACCGAGTGAGCCAGCCAGATGCCCCTCATCTGCATTTTACAAACCTCCAAAGACTGGTTTTAGAAGCCTCTGGTTCCGGACCAGGGAGATGAAGATAAGCAAACAAGTAACTTGGGGACCAGGGCACAAGCTAAGAATATAAATTGAAGGGGGGGGTTCTCTCTCTCCAAAGTCCACTGTGGCTCCCTGGTACTAGCCAGAGCAACCAGTCTGCACCAGGCACCCACCCGCAGAGCCCGACCAGAGCGTCCCCTGTACCCCCACTGTCC